CGGAGACGCCATAAGGAAGAACGATGGGACTGGGAGCCGGTTTGGCCTCGGCGTCGACCAGGAACCCGACCGCCAGGACCACAGTGAGCTGCGATGGAATACAAAAAAAAGTATTTTGTCTGTTTTTTTTTTTTTTTTTTTGTACGTTATATCATGAATTAAAAATAAATACATGATAGTGGTTAATAAAAAAAATATAATAATAATAATGTTACACACTGTCTCTGAAACGGGTTCTAAATCAGAATAACACAGTTCTTTATGGTAGCATTACCTTTACCTTTACTGTTCTATATTTAATATTCTACGTGTATTGAAATGCTGGAGTTTTGCACTTACTGTTCTCAGAAACATCTTTTGGATTTCGATGTTAGACCAGAGTGAAAAGGAAAGAATGAGTGCCTTCCTTCCTCTTTCGAGCCTTTTATACGGTCCTCCAAGGAATTTTAATATACTACGCCAGCCCCCAATTAGCGGCTGATAGAAGAGGTATAAACAAAGATAAGATGGTATGAGTTGAAAATTAGAAGACTTTTGGGTGATTTTTTCTCGCAATAATATTTGGAGATTCCCTTCCAATTCTCGGGGTGTGTTATTAAGAGTGATTCACGGTTCGTGATTACTATTGTCAACCCTGATGACCCATGAAATCGTTGCCCATGTGCTTGGACACATGCTTGTCTATATGCTTGGACTCCATTCAACTACAAATTTATTTTTACTTGGGGAAAACACTCAACGAAAGTGTAGAAATTTCGCACTTTTGTCATGTCTACAGAGAAAAAATATATATTTTGTGGATAAAATTTTAGCATTCAGGCTACCAATCTTTATCTGTTAAATTTACAGATGTTTGAAAATGTTCCGTTTGTAAAGAAAAAATAAATGTGAAATATTTGACAGAAATTATAGGAAATGAGAAAAGTTAAGCATTCAATTACTTCCACTTGTATTTTTAACGGTATGTTATCTGATACACTTACAGATATTAACTGTTACTTCAAAACAGCAAATTCTTTTAAATTAGTAGGGGTTACATATGACTTCTGGTATAATGTAACCATGCTGTTTCAAACGCTAGCTCTTATTAGCAGCCTTCCTTAAACTAATATTAATAATGATAATGATAAAAGCGATAATGTTGATGATAATGATGATGACATTTTTAATGTGATGATGATAATAGGTATAATGATTATGTTACCAACTTTGTATCATTTCCATTACAATTATGTTTCAAAATACTAAAGAAAACTGAATGATAAACATTAAAAAACATGTGTATGTAACAGTTCCACAAAGCGAATGTTCAAATTGAAGTCCAGCATTTAACATTTTGTAATGAATTATCCCATTTTTAGTAAGAAATTAATATAAACTAATTAAAATCTTATGACAATATTACAAGACCAGCAGCATATGTAGCGATGTCGTCACTGACAACCACACCATGAGCTGATTCATATTGCAGACAATGACTCTCCTGGAAAATAATGCAAGATATAACATGCCTCTCATTTGGTCAGCTGCGTCACGTTATATTGAATTTCATTTTGTAGTTGGCTTTCCCGATGTTGTGATTTACAAGGAAATCAACTTTTAACGGTTGTTACAAATGCGGCTATAAACATGACAAAAGAGTGAGAAGTGCGATACGCATATTTCTGTCTCCTGTTCGGCTTCCTTCTTTAGCACTATATTGGTCCTCCCAAAAGGGAGTTGCAAAGTGTGTATAACCCGCCTCACTATTCCAGTTTTACCTTGGAGCTGAATGGCGTTCTCCTATATGTATCGCGGGCCAGAAGCAACCACTATGGATGGGATGTCCGCGATCTTTGTTGTATTTACATATCTACCAGGGGCCGGATACTAAAAACAGTTTACATGTTGTATCTCACATCGGAGCCGTTACAATGTCGTAAGGCCTCCGAAGCCCATACTTGAAACAAAATCAGCCGCCATGTTATGACGTCACACATTGTAAGTATCTTGTAAAATACAACACCTAGGGAGCTCTTGTAAGGGTATCAACCCGATTATAGTAACTTCTTATTTATCGGTTATATAGTCGGCATTATCTTATATAGCCTTTATTTAACCACACGGTGCCTTTTTATATGTTCAACACATCGGGAATTCTTGACATTCAGTATGAACTTGCCTTGTATGTTTAATTATTGTGATTTGAATAAATCATAAGTTGAATACCAACACTGTTGACAGACGACAAACACAACTTGGAACTGATAATCATTTATAAACACATATTCACATACATACATATGTATATGATATGATATGATATATATATATATATTATATATATATATATATGTATATATGTGTGTATATATATATATATATATATATATATATATATATATATAATATATATATATATATGTATGTATATGTATACATATATAATATATGTTTATGTATATGTATATATATATATATATATATATATATATTATATATATTATAATGTATTTGTGTATATGTATTTTTATATGAATGTATATATGTATATGTAAATATGAATGTATATGCATACATATACTCATATGTATACTTATATATGTATATATACGTATATGTATATGTATGTATGTATGTATATATAATGTATGTATGTATACGTACATATATGTATGTATGTATAAGTACATATATGTATGTATGTATATATAATATGTATGTATGTACTTACATATATATGTATGCGTATATATGTATGTTACGTATACATACATATATAAGTATGTATACGAGTACATTTATACATATACATACATACATATAAACATACATATATACATTCATACAAACATATATATGTACATATGTATATGTGTATATGTGCATGTATGTATGTATATATATATATATATATTATAATATATATATATATATATATAATATATATATATTGTGTGTATGTGTATTAACTGTAGTAACTACAGCCTGAAAGCAATGTGGATATATGTATGATTAATCTTTCTATGCCATATGCTTGTTAAAAAGGGGCATTAAAGATAACCTTATATTATTTTAAACTATTTAGTCCAGTCCTCACAATCTGCATAAAGCATTTCTAACTTGGATCTTGGATATGTAAAAAGAAATATTTGTTTACTCCAGATATTCTAGATTTAAGTTAATTATGATAAAATCATTAAAAAATACAACTTTATTTCAGACCTGTGATTATAAAATTATAAAACTGGTAAGATACATACAGTAAATATATATCACAAAAGTAGTGCAAAAAAATTATATATATAAAATGTACTGACACTTTTCATATTGCCTTATGACCACAAGACAGTTACTGCCTTTGAAAAATAATCAACAAAAACCTTTGAGAGCAAATAATGTATATTGCACAAATAACAAGTTTTATGCATAAAAAATATGCAAATAAAAGAATTTAATGCAAATAAAGGAATATAATGACATAATTAAAATAAAGCTGTCCCTGAAACCATATAACTATATTGAATGAACGTTAGAATAGAATTAAATAAAATTTGCTTTCTGAACTCTACAAAATTTAAAGAAGGAAAAAATCTAAATTAAATATTGTTCTGTCTCAGTAACAAATAAATCAAAATCTTAAATGACAGCATCAGAAAGATTAAAGCTTGACCTGCTCAGTTCTTGAAAGGTCTCTCTCTCTTGGACCATTGCACTGCCTCGGCTAAATCCGATAGTTACTCTTCTGTGAAGAAATGGGGTAACTCCGCAGAGTATGTGTAGTCCATTGTTACAATGGGTACTGTAACTTCTTGCTACTGCAAAGTGTTCTCATCCATTGTTACAATAGCTTCAGAATCCATTATGGGTTGAGATGCTATCCCAGATGGCCTAGGGGATGGTTCTTCAATATCTGAAAAAATAAATATCAATATTTAATTTTCATATGTACTTCTTGAGTCAAATACGACAATACATTTACAAAATCCTAAACCAACATTCAGCTTACTATGATTAAATATAAGAATAAAATATATATCAATATCTATCTATCTATACACATACATATATAATGTTACAATGTTTGTATTATTTAGGCTGTGTTGCTTCATGTAATGAAAATTGGCAAATATTACAGGTAACACAATTATTTACCCCCTCCCCCTTTCATTAGAAACATGTTTACTTACCATCTACTTCTGTCGCATTTTCATAGACCCTGGTAAGCCAGAAATAATAAAAGCCTCAATCAAAGCTAACATAGCTTCTTCAACTGCTGTGTAGTTTGTAAGAACTGCTGGGCCACCGTCTGGGAAACAAGAAAAAAAAATAAATGAATCAGATATACATAAAGTCTGAACTTGTCATGTCTTATATTTTAAACTGTAGTGACAATGATGATTTTTTCTGATTTTGTTAATACCTTGTATACTATTGTGGTTTTGTGTCATCGTCAATATGGGTAATGATTTTATGATCTGAATAAGTCTGCTAATATTCATTTCTGTAGTCTTCACTACTTTATAGGATGAATTTGCTTTTCATAATTCGAAAAATTAGTATCTCTATTAGACTACAATTGTGAAGCACATGGTGAAAATTCTTCATTTAATGAAGTTAATTCAAGAAATAAGATTAATCAATAAGTATTGAACCCGAATAATCATACCAGACAAATAAGATCCTGTGTGTAATCTTGCTTTATTTACGATGAGTTGTGTTTATTCTATATAGAAAATAAATATCTCCTTTAGTCTGAGTTTGTGAAGAATGTTAATGCAGTAAAAGTTATATAATTGCAGATATTCTAAGAAATAAATTCTCTCAGTAATAAACATACAGAACTAAAATAATAGCGAACAAATAACGATGTGCATGCACTAATACCATACTATATTGTTGACCTTTGCCTTAACTCGTTAATTTTCTAGAATGATACATATAGCTCATTACTATTTCAACAATCTACTTTCTTTATGACATTATCCTTTGTTTTCATACCATGTTGTGTATCTGTGAGTGTACCATAATGTTCTGTACTTGATATCACCTTCAATAATAAAGCGTTAATTTAATACACGAGCAATTCCGTGACAAGAGCATAAGTTATTAAATCATATAAAGTATTTGCTTTACTCCTTCTGTGCCAACATTTCAACACTAATATTTTGGGTTCCTACAGCATATAATAAACAAAATTCATTTAGAAACCTTACCTGTTCCTTCCATGTATTACTTCTCTTGTGCTTTATTTCACGACTGCTCTGATGTCTGTCAACTTCCTACGCGTTTCAGCCACAGTCCACGGAACGCGAGCGACAAGATTCACCTCACTAGTCACACACTCCCAGGCATTATTTATCACTTGTCCGGTTATTTTGTGGTCTATTTTCCCTAGAACCACACTTTTCCTCTTGACCACAGCTTCTATTAGAGCCAACATATATTCATCTGGGAAATTTGGCCTTCTTTTCTTTGGCATTATTTACTTTTGGTAGAGCGAGCTGATAAATCAGCTGAGATCTGTGGCTTTGCATTGGCTGTTACGTCTACGAGGCTGACTGCTGATTGGTCAATCAATTACCGATCTGCCCTCTCTTGGCAGCTTAGGGAACTAACTTACAATATGGACATTGGCTTTACAATGTGCTGACTACATTGTGATTTTTTTTTTTTTTTTTTTTTTTTTTTTTTGAGTATGGGTTATTTACAATATAGCAAGGAGTTAGTAAAGTACAATGTTGTAAGGCGGTTACAACGTCCTCGACCTTGTAACTTACACGAAGTCTTGAGTATCCAGCCCCAGTTGTTTATCTTTTAAGTAATAATAATAATAATAATTGTGTATTTGTGTCGTCTCTCCCGCAAAACAAAAATGAAATATACTTGGTGGAAAAACCTTACTCTTATGCACCATGTCATGTCTATTGTCTATCGTGAATATTTTTTTTATTTTGATTTCCATAATAATAAATTCTGGTTGAAAGAATTCCTTGTCTGTTTTCATCAAACTCCTCGAAGACTTGTAGTAAGACAGAATTGTACTTCCTCCAGGTGGGGCTGGAACTGATACATTCCTATATCTTTGGAAGGTAGGAGGTACACTTGTCTTATTTTGGTGCAGGGATTTTTTCCCCTCCCGCCGACATTTCATTATCACCAGACTTGCTCGCTATTCAAGAAAAAGAAGAACAATTGTTGTGGCCTTACAGGAAAAAGACAGTGTGTATTTAACATTGCCTGTGGTTCTTTAAATGCTAGGTGTTATCTTACAAAATCTGTGTGGCATCCTTTACCATTGGCTAGTATGAGTTCAAAGCAATGCAAAACAAACCTTTTATCCCCCCCCAAATAAAAAGGGACTGTTCTTTGTATTATTCAAAAATACTTCTTTCTTTTCATTATCTAAATTGCATTTTGATTGGGTTTATTTGTTTTAACTGTGGGCTGTGGCGAATATGTAGGCTTAGATCTTTTGCATTGCTTAAAAACTCCACAGGCTTCCGACAACTCTAGCAGACCTCGTCCTTCCTGAAACCCAATGTAGCTTTTGCAAGGATTCGAGCACCATAGATATGTTTCTGGTTGCCTGCCAACTTTTTAAATAGACTAGTAACCTGTGTTTTACTATCTATATTGTCTTTCTCGACTTGGCTAAGACCCTTGACATCATAGTAGAGAAACTTTTTGGAGAGTAATGGAAAATGACTCTCTTTCAAAGTTTATGGCAAAAACGAGAATTTGAAAACTTCATTAAGTTTGAAGTGACTACAGGGTCAAACAGAGATTCGCCCTTACCGACACATTCTTCACTCTGACTAAAACTCAGTCTTGTGATATGCTTCCTTTGCTTAGAACATAATAAATGGGAATGAATATCTTAACACAGGATGTATTTGACCAGTTATCTGCATTTGTGTTGATGTGTCAAAGCCGGTCAAATCCACCTCTTGCACTACCACGAAGGGTTTTCTCAGCCATGACCTGGCAGCTCCAACTGGATTCAAGGTCAACAAAGCCATCTGTCTATCCATTTTCCTAAACCGTAGAAAAACATGAATACTTTAAAAGGCACCATTAAGAAGTTAGAAGGCTTCTGGAGACACTCAGACCATCTTCAGATTTCCAGGGAAGGATTGTTTCCACAATGTAAGCACTAGAAAATGCTCAGATCACCACTGAATGAATGCTACAAACATGCCAGCTCAAATGTGCAAGAGATGTCACAAGAATGCCAAGAAATACGACGAAGTCACAAATGGTACGAGTGCTGATGGAGGGGAAATGTTACAAGGGCCCCTTAGACCCTATAGCCTGGCACTGCTCTACCAAAATAAAGAGTTACATATTTGCATGACTATTACATCTTTAGCGTTAGATGTCAGTAATATTGGCGTTGTACAGTGACTAATTTCCCTCACCAAATGGATATATGAGTTATGGAAGAGTTGAGCAAACGAATAAAAATAGATAAATGATAAAAATAAATAAATAAATAAATAAAGGGGCACATGTGCTTTT